GAAGCGAGTGAGGACACAGAAACAGTTAACCGGCTGTTTGCTGGTGACGACACACAGACGCTGGCGTTGGGAGGATTTGTGCTCATTATAAAGGCTACTTCACGTTGCCTTCAGCTTAACCACGCGGAGCATTTCTGCTCAGCACGGACGCTTCGTGTTTCAGGTCGACTGTCGCGCTTCCTTCTGCCGCCTCTCTCGCTCCTTGAAACACTTCCAGTCACACTGCTGACTTTTTCAAGCCACGGAAACGTCCCACAAACAAATGAACTGTGCTCATTCATCCTAAATTTAGCCCCTCTCCCGACCGCTTCGCTGTGACTGTGGGAAACGCTGCATACTCCCCCCCCCTCTGCTCTGGGTCCAGTGAGGACCCGGCCTGTAGCCGTCTTCTCAACTGCTTGATTGTAACTCAGAGGGACACGTCCAGTGTTTGGCGTGTAGGTGTCCTTCCTTTGCCTCTCTCTTTTCTCTCAGGCGCACACGCCCATAAATAAAATAAAGCAGCCTCGACCTGAAACAATGGGCTGAGTTACAGTTCGTCCACAAAGCACCTCAAGGACAACGAGGCTGAGCTAGTGCTCTGTCCATTCAGCAGTTTGTCCTCGAGGATGGCATACCGATAACGCCTCGCGGTCTAGACACACGTTTCCATCAAACGGCCCACATAGAGGTTAGAGATTCACGAGTCAGTGACCTTCTTTGTAAGCGATTTGGCCACAGCGACTGTGTAATTTGCTGTGCTGAATATATACGCGCTGCCGTTTTACCAGAAACCTGCTGCTAGCATCTGTTAAGCTGCTTCCAGCCTTGAGACTCAGCAACTAATAAAAGGGATTTTTGGAAAGCCGTAGCATGAAAACCTCCCTGAGCCGCACATTCAGTAGCTGTAGGGAAGCTCGTGCGAGTGCGGACTCGGACGAAGAAGAAAAAGAGTGCTTGTGAAGGCGCGTGCCGACAGAGTACAAATGAAGAGCCTCGTAAAGGCGTGAGTCAGAGGCCTCCTTTCACATGGAGAGCCACGCCACAGCTTTAAATAGACAAACTTCAGCAGAGGCCCAAGGACACCCGGAGCGCCATCACCCGCTCCTCACGGCTTCCTGGAATACAAAAGGCCGCTTTGTAAAAAGTGACCTCGAAGAAACGCAGATGATCAGAATACTCATGTCTTCCGTCTGCATCACTGCGTCAGTACCGTCACTTACCGTTAAAGCTTTTGTTCCAGCTCTCCACTGCTTCATCACCTCGTCATCATCATTCCACCTTTCCTCCCGGGACCGCTGGCTGACCCGGGCTGCTCCCTGTCCCGGTTTCCTGATGATTAACTCGGGCACTTCTGCCAGAGCTGCTCACGAGTCAGGTCTGAGTCAAAACCACATCCGTGCAGCCGGCAAGAGCCAGTCAGTGAGGAGGACTGGTGCACATGTATGTGCTTATGCTTCAGGTATGTGTGCTGGAGGCTTCAAAGTGAACGCATGTGGCATCACAGCCCTGCGCCCGACCAGGACGAGTGGAAACACTGTCAATGACTCTGCCACCAAGCAGAGCCCAGCGAGCTGTGAAACACAAAGTTTAGCCCAACTATTTATGACGACTTGGGGTTTTAGTCGTCCTGATGAATGTGAGCTGGTCGAAGCTGAGGCGTCGGCGTCTGCAACAGCAACAAGCTTCACCGGGACATCGAGCAATCATACTGAAGGAGATGCGAGCTGCTACTTTCAAGATGACGGAGCTTCTCCATCTCTGAGAGTCGGCCCAGACACCACTGGGAGGATGCTGGTTTGACAGCCCACATCAGCCCTGCTCTTTTACTGGTTGGACACCAATCACAGCATTAATCAGTTTGGCAAACTGGTTCCAGATAGTGAGGGCAGCTAGATTAAAATGCTATGGCAAATCAATAGTGACGTCTGTGACTTCCATCAGCAGCAGTTTATCTTTGACTCTTTTCATTATTTAAACATAAACGCCATCGAGTGAAATGTTGGGAAACGCCAAGCTCCAGCCAGAAGAAAAACACCATCCAATAAAGTGACACTGGATGGACGAGGTGGCAGACGGAGGTAAAACCTTTTCTCTAAAGAGTGTGGGATCCAACACACTCCTAAAGAGTGAAAGTGCAGAAAAAATGGTTCCCTCCAGGGCAATTCTGGCAACACTTTGCACTAATATATTCGTTCTATTATCCGTAAATGACTTCCTTTTTCACAGAGGGACACAAAATAGCACGAATATGGCTCCTATTATTTTTACCTTAACACATTCTCTGCGCTGTGCAGACAGAAGCGCTTTGAAACCGAAGGATTTGTGAACTTCAGATTCAGTTTTCTCAGAGTTTTTGGCTACATTCAAACCACTCACCATGTGTCTAATATCAAAGCAGGTGAGCTTCACTGCCCGTGCATTCAGCACAACATAAAGAGCCTGTTTCCGTGACTCATCCTATACAAAGTCAGTCAAAGCAACATCTGTGGTCCCTCTCATTTGGATGGCAGCCTGGAAGCGGGGCCAGTGTTTCCAGGAACACAGCCCGGTCTGGTTATTACTAGGAAACTGTCTTGGAATCCCAGCGGTGTTTGCCAAGGATTTGGTTAAACTGCTCTCCGGCAGTTTTCAGAGCTCCAGTCTGTGTTTTTCTCCCTTACGGTTACAGCAAGGCGGCTTAAAAGCAGCGGGGACCCCGCAGCAGATAAATGTTTGGACAGGAGAGGCTCCAGGTCTCACTGGAAACAATGAGATCAAAAAAGCTCCATCAAAGCCACCGAGAGAGATCAAAGTCCGGCAGGGAGAACTTCACTCTGAGTGCAAACACCGACAGAGACGAGGATTAGAAAGCTGGCCTGTCACTGCTGCCAGCGGTGGTTTTATTCATGAATGTCACCGTGGAAATGGAAACATCAGGAGGGGAGCCGTGCTGGAGCTGATGCACTGCAGTGTGATTTAAAGACGGCATCTGGTAAATGTTTGAAATATTTACCAGAAGATTCTTCACAACAGAGCTGACTGAGAAGCAGCCAAACTCTGTTGACACGACTTTATTTGACTCAATGAAGGAACCGAGTTAGACGACCTTTGACCCCGTGACATCTCACATACCTAACAAAATCAATCGTGCTGCTGCTGACGGAGTCATTTTGTACAAAGCTATCCAGGAACCATTAAGGCTCATTAGTTTCCTCCCAGGCAATTTGAGGACCTCGCTGTTGTAGAAGGCGAGGTGAATATTAGAGGCATGAATCACCAAACACCACATCAGTACAAAATGATTATCATTAATAACTGTTTTAGAAAATAGGAAAACTTCTCTCACTGTCACTAAGACCTGATATAAATGCTGCCATAAGAAGGAGCCAGTCTGCCATCAGTCTGCCATCAGTCTGCATTCAGTCTGCCATCAGTCTGCATTCAGTCTGCATTCAGTCTGCATTCAGTCTGCATTCAGTCTGCATTCAGTCTGCATTCAGTCTGCATTCAGTCTGCATTCAGTCTGCCATCAGTCTGCATTCAGTCTGCATTCAGTCTGCATTCAGTCTGCATTCAGTCTGCCATCAGTCTGCATTCAGTCTGCATTCAGTCTGCCAATCTACTGCTGAATGACGCCAAGTTAGAAATTAATGCAATCTGTTTCTGATATTTCAGCAATTAGCTGTGATAAATCCACAGTCCACTCATGTCCCCACAGGTACAATCGCCACAAATGTGCCGTCTGAGGCTACTTATGGCATTTGTGGACATTTAAGAACCAGAAAGGAACACGTTTTTAAAAAGGTGCGTATTTGCACCACATCTTGCACAATCTGTGATCTCTGTGTTTGGCAAAATACACAAAGACATTGGATAAATATTATTTTCACTGTTAAAGTTGCAGGTTTAATCACAGACTGTAACTAGTTTTGCCACCAAACCAAAAAAAACTGTCACCAGAGGTTCGAGTACAAACCACAAAGGTGTGAATAAGTCCACCTACACAAAGTAGTGCCTCAGAGGGCCGCTGTTCAACCACTACAATGAGGAACTTTGTTCTTTCTGAGTGTATGAAGCATTCATACTGTTCTGTGTTTATTACTCTACCTCTCTCTTTATTCCAGTTTGGGACTAATCAGCTGCAGTAGGGGTGAGGGTCCATTTTTCACTGGTCATCAATGGGACCTTTCAGAAAGGACTTTTCCTCTGCTGATTGAAACATCGTTCCCTGCTGGACGAGCACACTGGAGCTATTGAGATGTGCTCCCTGTAACTCTCACACTGTGGCTCTGTTATATTTACTAGTTATTGGTAGACCCCTGGTGCACTCTACATATGGTATCAGCTTGCAGTAGGGCAAAGGTGCGAGGGGGCTGAAGGAGTGCACATAAACATTCTCCCAGTATGGAAGAGTCCATGTGAAAGATACAGGAAAGGTTTTCATTCCCACTCCTGCCTCATTCCAAAATAAATAGTCCCAAAGAGACACCGCAACAACATTTTAAACAAGGGAGTCTGAGCCAAGACAGCAAAGCAGAAAAAAGCCTCCTCCGTACGAGGCTCTATTTAAAGAAGCCACCAATCAGAGCAGCGCGTAGCATCTAACGACAAGCCACTGCAACGCCTGGTACATTAAATTTGACTTCCATGTGGCTTTCTTGCTTGTACCATAAAAAAGGCCTGTCAGCTCCCTGACGTTTTGAGGCCAAGCCAGCGACGAGACGAGAAAGGAAGAAGAGCGGGAGGAGAGAGAGGTGCAGGCTGAGGCATACAAGCCACGTCTCCCCCGCTCCCCCGCCAATTACTAACTCACACATCGATTCATTGAGGCGGCGAGGTGTGGCGAACACGGCCAGAGACACGGCAGCAGCAGCAAACGGGTGCCAGGTTTACACATTAATCTATACAAAACAATGCTGCAAGTTCACACGCTCGACCTGCTGAAGAATACACCAGCGAGCGGCGGCAGCGTCGGGGACTTCAATCCAAGCACGGCCCACACAGGGCAGCAGAGCGGGGCGAGGCTGATGGGGGATTACCTGTAGGTCAAAGAATTTGCTGTATCTTCTGTAGATGATGTGGGAGGTGTTGTCCGAGTAGGTGACATTGATGAGATACACCTGCAAAGACAAAGAAGGCAAAGTTAAAACTGCAGCTTGGTTTAATCTTTTAAATCCAGAAGACTTGTTCAACACTTCCACCTGAAACAAAAGCGCACAAGCTTGGACTGCGAAAGTCACAAACGCAGCACATGTGACAGAAACGAAGCACCACATAGATGCACACACAGATGCACACACAGATGCACACACAGATGCACCTACGGTGGTAGGTTCTTTCTCGAGTTGCACAAGGTTGGGTTTCAATGCAACAACAACAGCCTGGCTGAGGGCTGATAGAGGGACACTTGGTAATGGTGATGGTTTCTGTCTGTCCAGCTGCTCTGCTGGAAACAAACTCGCAATCGTTCGCCTAAAGCACTGATGCATCACAGTAGCTGACTGTCATAAAACCGCCATCCAGCCACAGGATGGACGGTGACATCATCCCTCTTTTCCCCGCACACTGACCTGGCAGCCTTTACCCTGCCAGATGAAGCCACGCTGCAGCCCTGAGAGGCCTGATAAGATTGAGATAGAGTCCATTTATCTGTCAAGAGGAGCTAAGTGAAGCTGCCATCATCTCTAATCTAATGAAACATAGATAACCAAGGTAACGGATCCAGAGGCCAGGAAATTTTCATCAGAGACGTTAAGAGCAGGTGGGATCTCTCAATTGCTGTTATAAAGGCGCTCAGAGAAGACCTGGATGTGAAATTACTCGAGTGGATAAGCTGTTATGTAACAGACTGCAAGCTCGAGCTGCCGTGGGCACAATCGAAGATGGTCAATAAAACAACGTTTTTTCCCGCATAAAGGAGTTTTTGGCGCAGCCCAAAGAGGTTTTAGTCGGCCCCGAGAAAAAAGGTTAAAACAACGCCACCGCCAAAATGACAGGAAGTGAGAATAAATATTAAAATTATCTCTGAATGTTTTTATTAGCAATTTATGTGAAACAGCTGTTCACCAAGCAACACGTAAGGCTGCGCAAAGTGCTTCCTGTTCTGTGCAGGCCGAATATGAAACACGCTAAATGCAAATACAGAAATGCTGAGGACACATATTCAGGATGGATGGAAATACAGTGGACAGCAAGTCAGACACAAACCTTCATTACAAATGTTTCCTTAACAGAAAAAAGGCTCATTTTTACATAAAAGTTCACCTTCGTGGTTAAAAGTGACTTTGATTCTTCAAAACTGAAAGTCTTCCACAGCTTGTAGATGCACAGTCTGATTCTCAAAGATGCTCTTTTTGTACCCGATCGTGTGACATGTTACCAGTTAACTTGATTTGTTTCTTTTTAGTTCAGGTTCAGTTTCCAGTCGTCGCCCCATCACGACGTTTTTGAGACATCAAATTAAAAATGTGCTCTTTTTTTCCATGAAACATTAAAACGTCTCAGTTCAAACGTGCGTTTAGACGTTGACATGTTTTCTGTGTCGTAGTGAGAAAAAAGTATTGGTTTTATTTAAGGTTTGTAACTTTTTTTGGAATTTCAGTTTGTAGTTCTTGTTACGTTTAGACACTTAAAGTATTTTGGCTGTGGGAGGAACCCCCGGTCATCCTCGTGGTCGTCATCTCTGGACTTTAGTTCTTGCAGGTTTGAGGCAACTAAAGCTGCTGAAGTCAAGGTAACGATGGTAACTATGATGAAGAGACACTGACGTTTATCGTGGTTTCAAATCTAGGAAGAAGGTTTTTCCCTCTGCTGTTGCCAGAGACGATCCAAACTTCACTTGTGGTGCTGCTGCTGTACTTATAAGCTACATACAAGTAAAACAGCACTGTCACCCAGCCAAAGCATTTCAGTAAAGTGGCCTAGACGCAGCGCAAACAACTGCCTTTGCCTCACGTATAGCATCAAACAGGCGGTGTGCGTTTCCCCCGGTGAGCCATTGCTGCTCTTTGTTTCAGCAGATGCCATCTTTTGGGACTGATCTTACGCCGTCACTCCAACCCTCCGTACCTGCCAAGAGTCTCAAGAGCAGCGGCGAGATGAATGAGGTTGAGTCAAAAGCCTCAACATTGACGCAGGAAGGGCAACAGCCCGAACAAAGGAACTTCCACAACAAAGGCGGAGGGTTAAAAGGCCTCGCCGCTGCGGTACGTTCACTCTCATGCAAACACGGCTGCTGGCATGCAGAAGCTGCAACTGTCACACGACAAACGTGCACGGTGGGGTGTCGCCACAGTGATTAGCTCTGGCATTTACTGCTATGAAAATGTGCTCCCGGGGTCACGCTGAGTCCCAAAAATGGCTCCAGCCATCGTCAGCAACATCCAAGTGTCTGTGTGACTTCTGTAGCGTAACAAGCATTTGTGAGAAGAAGCAAAGAGCTCGTTTTACTGCTCCTTAATATCAAAGAAAAGAGTTTCTGAAACTAAATCAGCTGCTGGTTGAGGTGTCCTCGGGTAACACGAGGCCTCGTCCCTTCAAAGCTTCATGTAATCATAAATAAGGAAGCAGAAACACAAACGTGCTCTTGGCAGCTCACATCAGACTTGGCCTGAGGGAGGATGGAGGTTCTGCCCCCGGCTCTTCTCACAGCTTATTTTTGCTGAATGACGATTATTTTTAAGCAGTGCCATCACTGTGTTTAAGCCGGTGCGATTCAAATATCTGTACCACTGTTAGATTCATCAGAGTCACTGTGCTCAGTAACAGCTGAGCAGCACGATGAAGACGACGAGGCGCTGAATGTAAAAACGTCTAAATAACTACGGCATCGCTGTCTATGCGATTACCTACAGAGTGACGCGATGCTGAACCTGGATGACGGGGTCACCAAAGAAGATCGCTTCATTCCCGTGGCTCAGATTCAGCCATGATAAAGACCATAAAAACAACATTCAGACTTCTGACCCTCCCGTCTTTAAACTTTGAGACTCATCAGACCAGGCAAAGGTTTCTGATTTAGAGGAGTCTGCGTGAAGCTTGGCCTCAGTTTCCTGTTCTTATCTGCTGTGCTGTTCAGAGATACCGTAGCTGTAACTAGCAGTCATTTGAGTTGCTGATCGTCGTTTTTTTCTCCATCCTGACTTTCTGTTTGATCTTCAGCAGGTCAGCTCGACCTACACGCCTAAAGACATGAAGTCGTTGCCATTAATGAAGTTTCTACGAACTCAAATCTGATTCCAGGCATACTGAAAGGTTTAAGTTTAATTAAGTTGAAATGCGATTCCTCCACGACCTTTTCTAACTCAAATTACTTTGAAACTTCCAGGGAAAAAAAAAAGAGTTCCACGTTCCTCTAGGCTACAAAAGACATTTTTCCCATGAACTTTGCATAATTTGGGGATGTTTTCCACAACTGTCTAATATGTAGGACACAGCTGGACACGGTCTGCTGTGGACGCATTCCCACTGTTGAGTGGGTTAAGTAAGGGAGCTGCCCTGTCCTCCATCAGTGCAGGTCGATGTCACGCCGACGGGCTTGTCAGGCTGTAGTGTGGAGGTTAAAGATGGGCTGACATCAGTCAGGTAAGTCCTAGAAAAACAGCTCATGATAGAGTTTGGACTTTTCTCTGTTTCCAGAGTTGAAAACTGCAGCGCTGGCATGCTGATGTCATGCTGATGTCATGCTGATGTCATGCTGACGTCAGACAGAACCATGTGACGAGGATCAGCCTGGATGATCGAGTGTGGGAGCAAACTGTGTGCGTAAAGCGAGTCTTTGTCATGTCTCTGCAGCAGTACTTCGACATGAAGCAGCCAACACAGACTTGGATCTAACAGCACGCAGCAGTGCAATTTTACCAAGTGGCTGTGTGTATATGAGTGCTCTATAAACTCCTCTGACCTTAATGGCATGCCAGACTATCATCCTCCCATCATGCATCTGGACCACTTAATTCGACTCGGATGAAAATCCGTGCTGAGCTTAAGTGTAAGACGTGAGCCAGGCGGGAGGACGTGGACTCAGTGAAAGGATCCAAACCCCAGAAGCAGATGGGCATGTGATGGCAACCGCAGTGAAAAACACAACCGACGAGGTCCCGGGTCTGCTCGAGCCCAAAATATCACGCTTTAACCGAACGCCCTCCCACTCCCTGGAATAAACTGCACACGCTCGGCCCCGCCGCTGCCGCCTCTCAGGATAAATCTAGCAGCAAACATCGTCTGATTGGCTGCTAATTACATTTGTATCATTTCTGTTTGCATTTTACATGGTAGCTGCATTTTCCAGACACTCATGCAACTAAAATAAGGCGAGCTGAGATGACTCAGAGCTCGAGTCCGCCCAGTCGTGAGAGCATAAATGCCCCGAATCAACTGTTTGATTGACTCACTCAAATGTCAGTTAGGAAATAATCTGTCTGCCTGTTAAATAAATGCAAATCTGCAAATTAACTCGCATACATTTTTCATCACCACAGACAGGGAGCTAAAAAAGCTGCGATTGCTGCACAGCAGCAGGACCAGGCATTGCTGCAAGGCCAAAACCGAGGCTGAGATTTGTGTGAGGAGGCCACATTAAAACATCTGCGTGATCTCGGGGTTTCTGACAGTGAGCTGAGAATAACCAGGCCTGCATCTGGAAACAGGAAGGAGTTTGACGCTAAAACCACGAGATTAGGAAACAATGAGATGAGACTGACGTGAGAAACAGCCCACAGCTGCTACAGAATAGGAGAAATACATAAGATATATATGTAAGAATAGAAGCTTCTCATCAGGCGCCACAGCACTGACGTGTTCGTCCTTCAAACCAGTCAGAAAAAAAGATTCACAAAGAGCGTAAACAACAACGCGGGGAAAAAAACTCCCAAAAAACAAGGCCTGGGAGGGAAGCACGTCCCAGATAGGAAGAAAAGCACTCACACATCTGCTAATCCCACAGAGGGAGAGCTGCTCGAAAACAAAAGTTTTATTCATGCTCTGAAGCAACGACAGAAACACGAGTTCTTACGACTGAACAAATTGGACCTCTGATTATTTCATCGTGTTCGTCTGAACCGGTTATGAATATTCACGCCGAGCTTACAGCTCGCTTTATTTCCCCCCGCCTCGCCTCTGT